CTCTCTCGTCTATAGGAAAAAGCTTAAATATATAGAATTATGATTTTGTTTTTAGAAATAAAATAATTCATTATTTTAATTATTTGATAAAAATTGAAATTCTGTGCGAAAGCCTAAAGAATTATGTTGTGTAAGCATTTAAGATTAATTAAATTCTATATTGATTTATACAAATATTACCATAAAATTACAAATTAAGATACAGTGCAACCTCTCCATAGGAAACGGGCAGATGCATATCCAAAGTGTTTCTTATAAAGAACGTTTCTCCAAAGGAGGTTCAGTTATAAGTATAGAAAATCCAAAATATATTTTAAATCCGTTCCTTATGAGGAGGTGTTCTCCAAGAGAAGTTTCCCCATGAGAGGTTGCACTGTATATTATTGTTAATTAATTAGCGCTAATGAATTGAGATTTAAATTTCAAGAATATGTGTATTCGAGTATTATATACAATACTCTGTATACTGTATACAGTAATGCATTTTATTTGAGGGAATATTCTTCGGACACAAACTTTCATTATATGATTTCTTTCTTAAATTTTAAAAAATTAATTTCATTTGAATATCAAAACAAAAAAATAAATAGACTTTTAATTAAATATTGCCCTTTTGTGGAAATATTTTATCTCTTTGGTCTGTAGTTTCAATGGTTATTGCAATAAACATTTAAAAACTAATTAATGGTTATAGCAATTAAAATGTAATTAGAGTTTTGAAAAATAATTTAAAACAAAATGTAACATATAATAGGATTTAACTGTATTTATCTGTTTTCACTTTTTTAGATACACAGTCAGTAAGTTATTGTCTGATAACATTGATAACAATTATTCAATGAATAGTTTTAGTGAAGTTTCAGAAANGATACACAGTCAGTAAGTTATTGTCTGATAACATTGATAACAATTATTCAATGAATAGTTTTAGTGAAGTTTCAGAAATAGTTTCAAAATATTCATATATTTGAAAATTTGTTGTAAAATATTGTGTTTCGGTTATTGATTGGATTTAGTCTCCGGTCATCATTTCCATGAACTCTATAAATAATTAGAAAACATGACAATTAATCAACAATTTATTTAATTAATAAATAATATTTTTTCCGAATAGAAATCGTAACATTACTGACCGTCAAAGTCAACAGTTCCCGAGCCGTCGGTATCGATCTCAGCAATCATTTCGTCCAATTCATCCTCAGTTAGTTTGTCGTCGAGGGCTCGTAAGATCTCTCTTAAGGCTGAGGTGGGAATAAATCCGTTGCCTTCCTTGTCGTACATACGGAAAGCCTCGCGTAACTCCTCCTGCATCGCCTCCGCGTCCTCTTCTACTAAGAATCGAGCCGTCAGTGCGAGAAACTCATCGAATTCCAGTTCACCGCTTCCTAACAGTCATTCATATCATTAATACATTTAATTGTGTTTTGATTTTGTATTTATTTGAAATCTTTACGTTTTTTAATTGACAACAAAAAATAATATGTTGACCAATTTAAACTAATCAACATAAAATATCCATACATTATATAAATAACAGTAATAAATAAAATGATATGTGATGGTCATTCAATATTTGTCGATATATCAAGTCTTACCATCGGCATCGATTTCAGCGATGAGCGCCTGTAGGTCTCCCTCTTCAAAGCTCTGACCCAATGTTCTCAATATTGTTGAGACCATATTGGTGTGGATGTGGCCCTTCTTCTCCCTATCAAACATATCAAATGCTTTTCTAAGCACTTGATAAATAAATTTTAAAATAAAATATTTTCATTACTAATACAGTAATTAAAGAAAGAAATGAAAACAAACAGAAGACTCAGAGGAGGGCTAAAAACACAAATCATATTTAATATTAATTATATTTTTAATGTATAATGTATCTTGATATATTCATACAATTATCTTTAAATAGTTGATTGTAGATTTATTGATTGATCCAAAATTTGAATCTCATGAAGATGTAAATAATTCTTTATATCTAACGTCAATGTTATGTTTACTACAAACTGTAGAATATCTTAATATAAGTTTTAATATTATTCGTTAAATTCTTTTCAAGAAAAGGGATTTATTTATAGAGCAGTAAATGAGTTGTATTGAGTGCAACACTTGTCACGCATAACACATTGAAATCAATGGATTATTATGTTTAAATTCAAATATTAAATTATGGTAAATCTGTAGTTAATATCACAATTAATGTATTTTAACAAAATAGTCATTTAAGTGCAAAATTAGAATTACCTGGATTAAATTATTAATATTTTGATAATTTCTTATAATTTAATTACTAAGATCTTAATTTATAAAAGCATTAGCTTGTTTTTATAATTATAATATATTAGAGTTATACGAAATTAAAAATAACTCAATTTAGTTATTTAAAAATTCTTTATTATTCCTGAAAACAAAGTAATGTTTGGGAAAATTTTATAAAAATCAATTTATTGTTTGATACAAACAGAAAATTTAATTTTTAAATAATTTATTAAAATAAATTAAAAGGTTGTAAGAACTTCCAAATTAATTAAATAACTTTTGAAACGATTAAAATTGTTTATCCCTTTTGTGGACATACTATAGGGGTATTCATAATAGATATATTCAAGAGTGCTTTAACTTGCTATAACTTACAGTTATACATTACGCATCACCATAGGATTTACACCATGGTGTAAATTTAAAGCACTCATGGATATATTGATTAAATAAGTATGACTTACTTTGAACCTGTTCTTTGGATAGCTCTTCGGCCGACTATTAGCATATTGAAAGACAAACAAATATTTAGTTTAACATTAATTATTAATATGAAAATAATAATCAATTGAATGGGAATTCATACCATTTTGTTGAATAGATTGCACGCAAAGCAACGCTTTTTTCACTTTGGATTTAGAAATGAATTCCTGTTTAGCGAAGAAGTGAAAGACGACAGGAATGACGCTTACGTTGAGTTCGTATAAGCGTTTGTTTGGTGCATATCTGGAGCACCAGAATTGCGATTCCCATTTCTCCAGACCTTTTTTGGACCAAAACTAAGTCACGTGAACACTACTAATGCACTAATCGGAGAGACGGGCGTAATATAGCACTCATAGGCACTGTTAGGAACACTGTTTGCCACAAAACTTCTTTACCGCTATTTTTGGATTATTTTATACAATTTGTTCACAACATATACACAATTCTGAATATTGTTTGCATTATCGCACACAACCATTTGAACAGACATTTTAAATACTTTATAATTACTTTTTTAATAAATCTTGAATCTCTATAAAATATTCTGTCATTTATTTCAAATAAAAATGTCTTTTTGTATAGAGTATAAGCCATTAATAGGCTATTCTTGTTATTCACTGCAGTAACTTTAATTTATTTAGAATATATATAAAATTTATATTTTTATTTATACGTTATATTAGAAATGTAATTTAATAAATTTTTTTATTATAGTATACATAATTTAAGAAATGTATTGATGGTGTAATAAGAATTGTACTTCAATATACAGAAATCTTTATTTTAGGTGCCCTTAAATTTAAATCTAATTTTTGAAAACAATTCTTAGAACATGTTTAGCACTGTATTTATAAAAATAATTAACAAAATATTTCGACACATTTACTGAAATATATACTGTATATAATTGTTTGCATAAGTATTATATGAAAGTTGTAATAAATATTCACTCTTTATTTTGAAATTAATATTTAATTATTTAAGTCACGAAAACGTTTAAAGAAAACAAATTATTGATTAAAATATATTAATGAGTTTATAAGCAAACATTTAACCTGGCCATTCTAAACGCAATTGTATAAACAAAATAGCATATTTACTAGTTTTAAAGTAGTGAAACAATCATGTTTAAAAGAATTGTTTAAATAAACTTTAAACCACATCTAATAATTTAATAATATAGTACATCACATGAATTACAACAAGTCTATATAAATCACCTCAAAATCAATCAAAATAATATTCAAACCAATAATTCAAATCAATTAAAACTGAATTTGAATCTGGCTAACCTAAAAAAAAGTTGGCGATAAGGACTTTAGATTAACCCTAGTAAAAAGCAATTATAATAGCTTTTTAATAATAAATTATTATTAATAGATGTATAATTGTATAATATATATATTTAACATAATTTACATAAATAAGTTGAAATTATTCTTGGGATTATCAAATAAAACTTGCTTATGGACATTTTCATACTCGTAACACTCCAATGAATCTTCAAAAATTACTTGTTTTAATCAAAGTATTTAAATTCTAATATTAGGGCTTTTCCTACAATATTTCAATACATACAGTATATCAGTACACATTCATTATAAGTTATAACTATTCCTAATATTATAAGTTATTATAAGTTAAGTATTAAGTAATTTGATGGCATATATAATGAGAATAAAATCAAATAATATTAATAAGAATATAATTTTGGTTATTTCTAAAAACTTATATTAAATGATTTGAATTGAAAGCAATTTTGTGGAAAAGATTTACTAAAATATGAATACTAAGCATAGAGTCGGTGCACAAGTATTGTGACGATAACGGCATTACCGGCACTGAAAATAAGGCTTTATTTCTTATGAATGTTTTGCGAGCAAAGCATCAAAACTTAATATATGTTAACACTTAAGACCAAATAATTCTCAACATTTCTATACAGATTTAAAGTGATTTTTAAGCAAAATTCTGTACAATTCTATCTATAAATTGTAATATTTGTGATTAATTTTTAATTTACCTAAAAATATTGAATACATACGAATTAAATTGGTTTATAAATTAATAATAAACAATTGTAATAAATAACTGTTCAAAGAAAATCACACATTTAATGAAAAATTCTTGATATTCTATACATGGTAAGCATTTTTTGAAAAATAATTTCCTCTCAATTAATGAAAATGTTTTGAAAATATGCCATAAATTGATGATATTTTTAATGTTTGCAGTATTCATAAATGCTATGACTCTATGTATTAGATATACATTTTGATCAAAAATTGAGAAAATATAAATTGAGATCAAAAATTTAAATCCAAATCCAATTTGATCTATAAATTTCATTTATTTTAAATATTCTTCAAATTTATTTCTTTAAAATTTATATAAAATAAATAAGATTATTGTAAATGGTTTTCCATTTTTACGATAATACAGTATATTTGCAAAAATTACTTTTAATTCAATTGGATTTCTCCTAAACACTATTGTTTCGAATATAATTCATTATTTGAATAAAACAACGGCAATGAACAGCATTTGAAATTTTATAGCATATAAATATTTATATATTGAGAAGTGTTTGCATTGTTTAAACAATTGAAAACACATTAAAATAGTTCTTATTTAAATTATTCTAGCAGTATTTACTCTTTAAAATCTAAAAGTTTTAATTACTCTTTGTAAATTTTGTGTTCGTATATTTATCATGTTATCGATTATGTGATGACATATAGAATATTCTTATGCATTAAAGTTTGTAAACAATATTTTAAAGTGAAATGTGATTCTATATGAATATGATACTTTTATAATCACACATACTTGTATCAACATTAATATAATTGATATATCCAGAATATTTGCAATATTATAAAATCCATTACATATTATATTTGGCAATATAATGCAATATACAATATATTTAAAATATAGTAACTTATAATTAGACTCTAATTAATATATAATATGAAGTAAAATTTGACTTATAATTAATCATTGCATACTTCTATGTAAATGTAATACTGTATGTTAGGCTTATATATAATACTTTATTAATATAAGTTATACTACAACTATATATTATAGTATATGCGATATAATTAAACATTTTTAAAAAAATTCTATTTCTTTTAAAATTTATTTTTAGTTATTTGATTTGATTGTTGAAAATATTGAGAATAATATACATTTTAATCAATATACATCATTTTAACTAAAATATACCAAATAAAACAATTCAACACATTGTTTAACAATAGAGAATTACCAATAAAATAACGTAGATCATTTCTAACTAATAAATATAATAAACTATATACTTTTATTGTAAGTTTATAAATAAAGTTTGCTAAATTCATAAATTAAATAATTAAATTATTTATTGGAAATTATTAAACAGTATTTAAAACATTATAAAAAGTTAGTTTTAACTAGATGAATTTCAACGTGTTATTTATAAAATTCACTCATAGATAATGTCATTGAGTTGATATTGAAGATAACAATTAAGCAGTTATGTAGCAAGTTTTCTACATAATATGACAATTAAAATAAATTCATCTTAAATGATACATGTAATTCATTATTTGGATGTATTGACTTTTTTTTTTGATAATATTGTATATTATTTAAAGCATGATATTTAACGTAGTATAAAAAGAATTGTCCAAGTACAGTAATAATAAATTATATTGAATAACTACAGTATAATTTGAACAATAAATTTTATTTGCTGGCATTCAAACTAAATGTGGATGTTATTTAATTTTAATGGATGATAACTAAAGTGGTGATAACTTAATAATGTTAAAATCCATAAATTATTAAAATCTAGAAGTTCTTAAATATAGTAAATTTAAACTTTATTTATTTATACAATTATTTTAAATAATAATACTATTTTATATATAATTCTTAAGGAATTTAACATTTAATTATAAACAACTTTAATAGCAGCAACACTGCAGTCGTATTGTCAGATCTTTTTTATATTTCTGATTTATTTATATAAAATATTTGTTCAATTCTTTAAAATATTTATAATAGAAGTGTGTGTTTAAATTTTTGATTACTATTAGTTTTAAAATATAACGCTTTAAATTTAAAAAGATAAATTGCAAAATTCTTGCAAACTCTGAAATTTTTACATTAAACTATTGAATAATATCCTTAAAACAATTATCTATTATTTAATGTGTCTTTGGATTGAATTATTCTCATTATTGGTTTAACTGATTTATTAAACGATCAGAGAGTTAAAAGTGCCAATAAGTCTGATTTGGATAACAAAATATTGGCAGATAATCGTTTAAAGTATTAAAAATAAGTTACATTTACTCTCTCTCTCTCTCTCTCTCAGTTCCTCTTCTTTATCGGTTTCTTTCATTTTCTTAGACATCATATGAAGGAATTCATTGAATTCTATGGTTCC